CCCCCGGGGGCCCCCAGGGGGCCCCTGCTGCTGCTGTGGTACTCTTCTGCTTCTTCTTCTGCCACTGGCATTTTATAAAGATGAAATAAACGCATCAAATCGTAGTACTGCCCGTGGATGTCCCCGTATACTGCAAACAACTCACAAACCCTAAACGCTAAACCCTAAACCCTAGACCCTAAACCCTAGTAATTGGCCGTACGGGAGTGACGTGAAGAAGCAACAAGCTGCCGGGGTAGAGACAGAAGCAGCCAGATGATGGTAGAACTCTGGGGCCTTAGCTCGCCTCTCGACAAGCAGTTAGGGTTTAGGGTTTAGGGTTTAGGGTTTAGGGTTTGGGGCGCACCCTTTATGGGCGCGCGCAGGTTGAGGACCATGTCCTCCTCCTTGAAAATATCCACCACCTGCAAACGCAAATCCCAAACCCCAAACCCTAAACCCTAAACCCTACACCCTGAACCCTAAACTTCAAACCCAGCCGAGACACCTGGCGAGCACACGCACTGACGACAGCAGCAGCAACACCGACACAACTAGTAGCAGCAGCAGCAGAAGCAGCAGCAGGCGCACCAACAGCAGACGCAGCAGCAGCAGCAACAGCAGCAACAGCAGCTGCAGCAGCACGTACGATGTGGCAGAGTTCATTGACGTCAGCCCAGGGAATGCAAAACGGAGCTTCAGTTTCGAAAAGCGACAGCAGCTCTTCTTGAGTTAAGAGAGGCCTCAGCAGCAAATGAACAATTCTGTCCGCTAGTGCTGCTGCGCGTGCTGCAGCAGGAGACATTGCTGCTGCTGCGCTGCTGCTGCTGCAGCCCGCCTTGTTTATCTTCCGGCCCTCCTCCTCCAGACGGTCTATAGATATCTGCAGCAAACCGCCCAGCAGCAGCAACAGCCGCAGCAGCAGCATGCAGCAGCAGCAGGCCCATGCAGCAGCAGCAGCAGAAGCAGAGTGCAAACACATAGCAACAATCTGGCAGCAGCAGAAGCAACAGCAGCAGAAGCAGCAGCAGTGGCAGCCCAAAACCCTCGGCGCAAGCTCTATCAGCAGCAGCAGCAGCAGCAACAGCAACAG